ACCTACACTCTCACTGACACTGATCAATTTATGGGACTAACAGCTTATAAAGAAGTTATGTGAGAAAACAGGGTGATTTACGAAAGGTAATGTTGGCCTTCACCCTCATGCTGAATACTTAATTTAGAGGTCAAGGCTTTGAAAACTGTTTCATAATGAATTATCACATCAGCATGACTCACTTTGAAAGCTAAAAGTATATACAAAAACAGTGTCTATTCCCACAACATTAAAGAGGGAATAATGCCAACCAATAGCATGAAAGTAAGTCTTTTAACAAAAGTGACTTCATACTGAGAAATGACGTTTGTGTAAGTGACCTCCGCATTCAAGCAAATGACAGAGGATCTATTAGATAACAGTTAGTTGAAAGAAATCCTTCAAATGAAATGTGTGAAGTTATTCATCTTGGACTAAAGGCACTATTACTACCCATTACTCATATCTTGGTGCCTCGCCAGATATAATCTCTGAGTCTAAAAAACACATTTAATGAGTGATTAAAGATGATCCGTTCTCACTTGAAGGCTATCCTTCAGAAATCCAATCAAATGTGAATGAAAAGGCTAAGATTAATTAGACTTTGACTTTCACTTTACTTGCACTGACAAGTAAAATGTGCACTGGAGAAAACAGCAGAGAAATGTATTGACTTACCTAGGAGTGTTTTGTTATTTAAGAAACGTGATCAAAACATGCCCTGACAAATGTATTTTTCTTATGTGGCTTACATAAACAAGGTGTCTAGGTCAGTCAGTTTACTGTTATATGAGTGCACTTGCAGTTGTTTTTATGATGCCTATAATTAATGAAAATATAAAACATAAGTAATGATTTTAAAATCATAACCCCATATAAATGTCTCTTTTTTGTATCACATTACCAAACTCCACCACTACTGATAAATAATTGCATAATTCACCCTGTTGTTTATTATTATTATTTTTTTTTTTTAGAAATATTGAAGATTACAAGACATTTGATCAAAAAATTTTAACCATTAAAATTTATGAATAAATTTCAGCTTGATGCAGTGTGCCGGTGTACAAATATGTATTGTATCTACTATCTAATAAAATAGATTTAGTAGATTTATTAATATTTTATCACCCACAGATGTGGGTGTGCGCATGTTTGTGTGCATGTCTGTGTATGCACACCAGTGTGAAATGTAACCCCAGAGTATAAAGTGATGCCAATCAAAAATCATTGTTTTCAATAAAGTGAAAGGATGTTATGTGATTAATTTTTTCTCCATCTGTCATGACTTGCCTCCAAAATTTAATCTTTTTATAAAAGAAATCATCAAATGCATTTACAGCTGAAACCCGAATACATCCTTATGAAATCATCAATTTACTACAAAGACCTTGAAAGAAATAGTTCTTGTCACAAAAACTCGTAATAAATATAACTGATGCCAATGACTATTCTATAACTAGAGGATCAGAGCGGCAATAGCGCTACCAGGTGTTGTACCACCAGCAAGATTAACCTAAATTAAGTGAAATGGTAGTATATGGATGTAAACCAGACAGTTTTGGAGATATTAGGGCTGGGAATTTACAAAGTACAGTTCATGGTGAAAAGAAGATCAAATGTGAAATTCAAGGTCACAGTGAGATTGCCAGTATAGGATTTGCTTTTCACCTTCAATAGTAACTATGGGTGTATCTCTGCCAGTTATGGAGATATAAGAGTCACAAAATTTGCAAAGGACAGCTCATGGTGAAATTCAAGATCACAGTAAACTTACCAATATATGACTTCCTATCCACGTTGAATAGTAACTATGGGTGCTTCTCTGATAGTTTTGGAATTATTTAACATTTTATTTCACCTTTGAGCATGCTGATGTCGTACTTTTTGAAATAGCGCAACCCCTAAACTGTAAGGAAAACATGAGTACAAACACCGATAATGATGCACTTGACAAGACCTACAAAAAGTAACAAACAAGAGGTCTGTAGCTTTTAAAGTTTCAGAATAAGAGAGAATTTTCAGTTTCATCACTTAGGCCAATGCACCCACAAAGCCCTAAATCTAGGGGGTTCAAGTTGAGATTATACATGACGTTATTTCAAGAGATGAGGACACAGGCCCTTGTAGTATAAGGGGAGAGGCAGAGCTGGCAGACAAGATGGGTTGGGACAAAATCCATGTGTACCACACAATTAATCCCATCATTGAACTATCTGTAATTAGTTTGGACAAAGTTAATTGATATTGTTTTAAACAATTTTCTTTATTTGTCATGCATTGCCCATGTATCAATTTTAATTCATATTCTTAAGGAAAATCAGATCAATTTACAGCTGAAACCTGAGTACATCCTTTCCAAGATGTTACGAAATGATCAATAAACAAAGAAGACCTTAACAGAACCACAAATAAAAGATAAAAAATCAATAACTAATAGCAGCCAATGACTGTTTTTAGAAGTAATCCCTTCATTACACCATTTGGAATAAATAATATTCAGTATTACCAACAACATGCAAATAAATGTTTATTTATACTATATGTGGGAATCAGTGCATATGCATACATTAACCTTTTGGATTGAAGATCAAGGCTCTCTAGCAGCACCATAGACCTGCATGACTTAAGTACAAATCCATGAAACATTTATGCCAAAAATAACCCATGATAGACATTCTACGGTTAAGTATTGAAATAATTTCATTAAAAATGAAAAAAATACCCCTTTTAAAATCTACTGAGATGTAAATGGAAACATAGAGGTGGTTATAAACAGGATGATCTGAAAACATATGCAGCTAGACAAGAGATGCTCAGTGTTATTGTGTAATTATAATCTGTTTAAGGCTCATATTGCTAATGGAAGGTAATGAATACCAATGTGTAGTGGAGACAATAAATCACCATGAAAGCTTCCTTGTGCACATAACAAAATGAAACCACCCACGTCTGTCTTTACCACTTAATTAACTTCATTTTTATGTGCTTACATGTACTCCTCAATGTTCTACAGGTGTGTTAATATGCCAACTGGATAGTGATCAGATACCTTAATTACGTATGAAGCTTTAACATACTACTCTTTGCTTTGAGCACCGACCAATTCACAACTCATTTTAGCAGACATAGCTTTGAAGGAAAAACAAAAACATCTCAGTTTCTATTCTTGCCACACTGCGCACATGATAAATACTGTGAAACAAATACGCCGTGAAATGTAAAAATATGGAGGTTTAGCCTCAAGAGTTCCAGAGAAAGAAGACCTACAGGTATCCTGATGTTTGGAGACAATCAGGAAAAAAGGACAAAAAAATCTGTTATTTTTTTGGCTGCAAGTTATCAGAAGAACAGAAATGACAAACATTAAGGATTCCCAATGCTACTATAGATTAAAACTATAATTAACACCAGGGTTTGACCTTTGTAGACTCCTTGCATAAGCTCTCTTTCTCAGAAATGTCATTACAGTACACTTAGGTAACTGTCCTCATAACCTTCACTACAGTTTCCCAGTCAGCAACACTATATTACAAAATTANTTTTTATGTACAGACACATATGTGTCTGTACATATAGCTATCATCTGCGTCTGTCGTCGTCGCCGTCGTCGCCGTCGTCGTCGCCGTGCACTTTTACCGATAACACGATAAGTGGAAAACCGTTTTTTCTATTGTCTTGAAATTTACAGAACTGATGAATATTTATAATCTGCAGGTCAAGTTCGAAAATCAGCATGATCGGGCCATTCTTAGGGAAGTTATGCTGTTTTTTCACTTTTTCAGCATTTATGCAACACCGTTAACACAATAAGTGAAAAAACGTTTTACCTTTTGGCTTGAAACTTACAGAACTGATGAAAATTTATAATACGCGAGTCGAGTTCAAAAATCAGCATGATCGGGCCATTTTTAGGGAAGTTATGCTGTTTTTTCACTTTTTTCAGCATATATGCAACCCTAATAACACAAAATAAGAAAAACAGATGGGCCAATTGTCATTATACCCACAGTACTGGTCAATCTTACTAAAATGCAGGTTGAGTTTGGAAATCAGCATAATGGGGCCATTGTTTTAGAAGTTATGCGTTTTTTTCACATTTTCTCAGATTAAATTCTTAGGCATGTTAACAGTCTCATTTTTGAACTAATAAGATACATAAAAGTGTTTGTTTGACATTTCCTGCATCTTTATAATATTGTTAGTTGATTATGTAAAAATGATGGTATACCTTGTTATTGTGTATTGTGTAATAAAGTGTCAAAATTGGAAAAAAACTCATATCATTGCAGTTTGTCAGATTCAATCATCTACTATGTTCAGAATCTCAGAATAAAGGAAATTGGACATTTTACACTGTTCTATTGATATTTTTCCCATCTCATCAATTTTCTTAGTTGAACATACAAAAATGGCAGTAAACTGTTTATTTTGTTTTATTTTAAAAAGTGTTTAAAATTGAAATAAACCCATTGCAGAACAGTGCTGTCTTGTTTACATTTTGGCATTTTCAAGGTGTGACTTTGAAGTTCCATGGGCCTGAAGACCTTTGCTAGTCACATTTTCTGAATATCCATGATAATAATATTTCATTATTAAAAATTGATGGTCATTATGCTGTTAAACATTATGTAATATTGCATCAAAATTTGAAGGAACCCCTATTTTGGGCACTGCTCCCAAGATGACCATTTAAGGAAAATGATGTCTTTTACTGTTCTCAAACTTACAGGAAAGAAACATGGGACTAAAATACAGCTTCAGTAGGCAATGCAGTCTGTTTGGTAATTTTTTTCTGGCAATCTTACAGTTTTTTTGTGAAAATTTAATTTTTCACATATTGGCATTTTCAAGGTGTGACTTTGAAGTTCCATGGGCCTGAAGACCTTGCTAGTCACATTTTCTGAATGTCCATGTTACTAATATTTTATTATTAAAAATTGATGGTCGTTATGCTGTTGAACATTATGTAATGTTGCACCAAAATTTGAAGGAACCCCTATTTGGGCACTGCTCCCAAGATGACCATTTATGTAAAAATCATGTCACTTACTGTTCTCAAACTTTCAGGAAAGAAACATGGGACTAAAATACAGCTTTAGTAGGCAATGCAGTCTGTTTGGTAATTTTTTCTGGCAATGAAACAGTTTTTTTGTGAAAATTTAATTTTTCACATTTTGGCATTTTCAAGGTGTGACTTAGAACCTCCACGGGCTTGAAGGCCCAAGCTAGTCACATTTTCCGAAAATCCATGATACATTTATTTTATTATTAAAAATTGATGGTCATTATGCTGTTAAGCATTATGTAATGTTGTATCAAAATAGAAGAAAACACAATTTTTGGTGCTGCTGCCATGATGACCATTATGGGAAAACCCTGTTACTTATCACTGTCAAACTTTCAAAAGAGAAACACAGGACTAAAATGCAGCCAGAGTTGGAAAAGCAGTCTAATTAGCTTCTTTTTCTTTTTCTGGAAGTTATACATTTTAGTGAAATATTCATTGTTATTGTTTTGGCATATTCATTGTGGGATTTGGAGCTCCCATGAACATGAAGCCGAATGGTAATCAAATTTTCTACATGTCCATCTATTTATAGTCAATAATCAAAAATTGGTGATAATTATTCTGTTATTTATTATGTAATGTAACATCAAAATTGACAAAAATCTTTTTGCACTGCTACTACAAACATTATGAAAAGAAAACTGTGTTACTTATTATTATTTTTAACTTACAAGTATGAGTTTTAGGATTGGCATGCAGTTCAAATTAGAAAGCCAACTCTATTGGGTTATCATTTATTATTGAATTTATGCAATTTTTCTCATTCTGCCATTTTGAAAGTGTGAACTTGAACTCCCATGGGCCTGAAGCCTTATGCTTGTTACACATTTTACTTACATCGGTATTACCTGTTGAGCATAATTAAAATTTGACATTGAATTTGCAGTTTAGCATAATGTACTTGTGCACCAGAATTGACAGTAGCCTATTTTGTGAATTGTTATTTTCTGCTCTTTGTCTGTACATTTGACAGCTTTGCTGCCTTGTTAATTTTACTGCTACCACTCAGTAGGATATTCTAATTTTAAAGATTATGACTTATAATTACAGTATCTTTAAAATTTACAATTTCCCCCATGAAAAAGATCAAGTAATTATTGTAGTTGGTTTCCACCAACCTGAAACTCAGGGTTGTTAAACAGCTACCAGTGCTTTGATCTCCAAATGTTTCTGAAGGAAATGGTCTAGATTAAGATTCCACGTTATCAATTTAGGCAATCCAGGAGCTTTGGACCAATGAGCGCCTGCTGAATGCTGTGGAGCAACTGATTGGGCCAGATATAGCAGGCCATCCTGTGTGGAATCTGCGTACAAAAACACCAAAAAATGAAGCCACAACTGTCCCATGGCACCAAGGTACTGGTACAGACGGTTTTCATTTCAACACTATGGATCAATGGGCATTTAAAAAAAAGTGATTTGAATTAAATAGTCAGTGAAGTGGATTTTGATTGCAGACGTGGGGAAAACCTAGGACACAATGAAGGACCAAAGGACGGTCCACAAGACTACAAGTAATCAGCAGGTCCTCCCAATTCTGTGTTGGGCCTAACTAAGTATTTTATTTCTGTTAGTATATGTGTACATGTGATAAATTATAATGTATTGTATTTTCACATATACCTTGCCAGCCCAGAGGACCTGGGATATCAAAAACCATGCAGGTCCACTGGCATTTCAAGCAGTCACGACCAGCCATACAGGCATGCTATTTCCCCATGTCTGTGATTGTTTTTTTAATTGATTTATAAAGTTTTAATCTTTTAAAGTAACAATAATCAGGTCAAATAATGAGAAGGATAATCAAGTTTGATATATTATAGTTATCAGTCACTGAACAACCTGTATTTTGATTTAAAAAAATCATGCTATTTACTTCATCTGTTTTTTTGGCTAGATGTTGGCTACCTGGACAACAATTCCTATGAAGTTCTGCAGCCCACTGCATGGATACCACTTTTGGACTCCAATGAAAACAATGGCTGTATGCAGGTGAGATTCCTATTGATGCAGTTAGGCTGATGCATTTACAGGATGAAAATTGTTTTCAGATGAATGGAAGAGGTGGAATTGACATTAGGTATTAAAGGAAAATATCAAAATCATGATTAAAATCACACCAAGGTTTTACCTTCAGTGCTAGACAAGAGCACACTCCCTATTCTATGCTTCATTATAGTAGCTACCTCAAAGTTGTATTTGTTCTATGCAATAAAAGCACCACAAATGCTATCTAGAAATATATTTTTCATGATTTCAGAATAATGTATATGATAGATTGATAACTTTCGTCCATAGAAAAGATTGGGTCATTAGAGTAATTAAAGGGAAGGTAGTGGTCTTTTAACCCCCACAGTTGACCCAACTAAATAAACAGCAGAAAACTGAAATCAATCTTTGATTCAGATAAGGCCTTAGTTGGCCACCAGGTACTTTCGAACGTCCCCCCCCCTCTCCCCTGTCACCCGACCATGGACCTACGTACAATGTAGCTTGATTATCAAAGGTCTGTCCCAATTTTTAAATCTTTGTTTTCTTATTTTTAGTTAGTAAAGGGCGGTCACAAGACTGGACGTGTGGCGGAACACGAGTGCTGTGCTGGCAACACTTGGTACACCATGTTGACAGAGGAAGAAATGGAGAAAACCCTGGGTAACTTCCCACTGAATAATTGTTTTTTCTCTCAATACTAGCATGATAAACCAGCATTTAGAATTAAAATACTAGTAGTAGAATAATGGTATTTTTATGTTACTGCCAAGAGACCAATGCCAGGAAGAAGTGGTTTACCAAAATGACTGAAGGTACTTATATAATCCAATTTAATTACACAGCAGTGAGCTGGTGTATTTTTTAAACACAAGGCAAATAGATGTTAAATGTTCAACAACACAGAAGAAAATAATGTCTTTAATGAACTACACACGTTTATTTCAGAGGTTAACATGGCAGAGGACATTGTGTCATGTCCAGTGTCCTATGGAGGAATGTTACTGTTAAACAACATGATTCCACATAGGAGGTAGGGCGCAAGTGCTTTTATCAATACGTAATTGGTTTTTTCTAACTGGGTTTGAACTGCCCCAAACCTAACACTAGTCAACCATCACACATTTGACTTAAAAAGACTTTTAAACAAAGCCAGAACCAGTCAAAAGTAAGATCAAATGGATTGGTTTTAACATTGCTCATTAAGATAAAATATACTGGTATATGTAAATGGAAATAATTTTGTATTTATTTGCAGATATGAATCAACAGTGAATAAACCTAATAATTGCATAAAAAAAATGTAAATAAAACATGCATAAAAAGGGGCATGGTTCAACATGTATGTTCATTTTAAAGAACTGGTGCTAACATAAAAATATTTTTGAAATTTAATAGTCATTTTGACATCAGATAAAACACATTGAAACAGCTTTCATCAGACTGCATCAATGCAAAGTTCAAGCAGATATAACAAATTCCACATTTTCAGCCTAAACAACTATTCTGATGCTATCCGCTGGAGTCTGGACCTGCGTTGGCAGACACCACACAAATCCTGTGGTTTTTATGGCCTGAAGGAGGGCCTACTGATGCGTTCCTCAAAGGATCCCAATGTTCAGATAGACTGGGATACTTTTCTAGGTCTGAACAGAACCAAGGAACAGCACAAGTCTGTGGGAAAGGTAACATGGTGTTGCACTCACTACTTTGCATTTGATTCAAAATTAAAGCACCTCTTAAATAATAATTTGATGTTAAATGCTTTAACATCGAAAGATCATGTTTTATCACATTTTAAAATATTTCTGTGGGCATTATGGCCTGCAGTGGTTATGGTAAATACTTGATCTTTTTCAGTAGGGAATATTGGTAATTTTACAGATACTGCAAATTTAGAACATTCCTATTATTAAGTGGTAGCAACAAAATTCAAAAGCAAGCTACTCTATAATTCTATCCTAAGCAGTAAAAGCACCACAAATGCTATACAGAAAAATAATTTTGTGATTCTAAAATTATGTATCTGAAGTTTGATAATTTTGCCCTGAATAGATCCAGTAATTACTGTACAGTAACTAATATCTACTTTCGAGATTCCAAATTAAATAAAGCTGTATATTGATTTTGAGCAGTTCTCTGAAAAAAGGGTTGGCTTTAATTTTTACAATCTTATAATTAAGAATGCTCAAAATTATAATAATGAAATCAAGTGTGCTGTACAGAAAGGTATATCAATATGTGCACCAAAAGTGAATGTACAGACTTGACATTTAATATGGAATATTTCAGTTTCGAAGGAATGTCTAGGTAAAAATGCGTTCTTTTTTCAAAAAACTCCGCTCTCATATAAGATTTGTGAATGGAGAAGTGTGTAGTCAGGTGTGTCGCTACCAATAAACTGACTTTCATGTCTGTTGCGCTGCTATATTATGTAATATGTAGTGATTTAGTTGGGTAGTGTTCCTTTAGGCTGGTCAAAGCTTGGCTTAGGCAAAGCTTGGTTCTGTCAAAAAAGTACCTATATGTCGGCAACCACTGCATAGAAGAATTTGAAATTTTGCATGCAAGCGGTCAGTTTTGCAGTGCGTAAGATGAGTCAAGTAGTGCATTACAAATTTGTTAATCTATGGCAGAATGGCGCGAAAAAGACAGACATTACCAGACAGATCATAGCGCCAAACGGAACGGTCCCCACAGTTTTATAGAGTAACGCCTAGACTGATGCACCTACACAGATGTCACACCCAATGTATCAAAATCTTACCTACAGGGTACAGGACCCACTGTCTTTCGGGATACGCTGCTGCAACTAAACAAAAAACACTTAGTCCGTTCAGAACGAGGGGTAAATTGCCACCAAAATGCGTTTTTCAAAGCCCTTAGCGAACACCAAACTGGTTTTAGCAGGCAAGAACACCAAATGACCTCCGAGGCACCCACTGTAAACAGCAAAACATCGTCGTCTGTTTCTCTAATGAATTGGGGGCCATGGCCGTTTCTGGGTAGAACACTGAAACTGCGTGGCTTTCTTTATTGAGGTCAGATTTCACCTGTACCGCCCAATTAGTCAAAACAGAGTTTACAGTTATCCAGAAGAG